ACCTGTCTGGCTGTCATTCTTATAGGTTCCATCAATTGACTTCCTCCCTAGATTGCCTACCTTTAATGCATCCCTCCCTGTTATAAGTGCACGTCTTGCTTCCCTATTTTATTTGTTTGTTTGTTGTTTAGTTTGATATCTAATCCCAAATAACACTACTAGTAATATTTGAATTTTCAATGTAATTGAATCATGTCACGCCTACTGCGGAATTATTTTTCTTATTTCTTTTTTGACTTAAAATCTGTTTTGAAGATTCATGAGTAGATGGTAGTTTTTCTTTGTTAGCAATTTAAATTAAACTATATGTTCATCCTATCTATAGAAATTGTTTTGCTATGATATATAAATTGGACTCATTAACTAGTTTAGATGATTCCGTGTTTACTTATTTTCATTTATAATATTTCATATTAGTTTATTATTTAATTTGTTTATGATGAGTCATTTTGATATTGCAATTTCGTTAGTTTGTCATATTATTTTTCGTATGTATATAATATGTTCTTTTTTGGGCAAAAAAGCCATAGTCCCTCAAGTTTTATAGCGATCCTGGTTTTACCCCGACCTTTATTGTGTTCCGGACTCGGGTTCCGTGATTGTATATTGTTATTTATGTCTTGTTTCCTCCCTTTAATTATTTGAATTTGAGTTTTGGGACTTGTTGAGCGAGTTTGGAACAGGTTGGTTGTCTTTTGGTACAAATAGTAGTTGCCCAGATTTTGGCCTCTTCGCTTGAGCGAGGCTTTTTGTGCTCGAGCGAGCCCTGTGAAAATGTTCTTCACTCGAGCAAGGCTTCCTGCGCTCAAGCGTGCGTCTACGTTGGTTGGCAGACCTGAAGCTTTGCATTCTACGCTCGCGATGCTTCTTGCGCTCAAGCGAGGCGACCTTTTTGTGTCTGGTCGCTCGAGCGAGAACTCCTTTGCTCGAGCAAGCCTAGTTTACATTAGTTCACAACAACGCTATTTTGGCTTCATTTTTTATCTTCTTTTCACCCATAAACCCTAAATCTACAGCTTCTCTCTCTAGGAACCACTTTCTCTCTAAGGTTTCATCTAAATCCATTGTGTTCTTGGCCCTAGTGTCTTTGAGAATAAGGTAGAGGGCTTCAAGAGCTTTGTGTTGATCCAAGTAAGGGTTGATTTCGTCATCTTTGGAATTTCGATCTTGCTTGTTTGTCTTCTACAGTTGAGGTAGGGAATTTCTACACTCTAATATGGTTTTTAGCTTAGTTATTTGCCATTGTGTATAGATGATGAGATATGGTTGTGGTTTGGACAAATCTGGGAATTGGGTGTGAAAGAAAAGAGGGGTTTTGATGAATATGAGGTAAATGAGTATGAGGCTTGAATATAAGATCATGTTGTGCCAAAATAGTTGATTTTGGTGTTTGGGTTGATATTTGGAAAGAGTGAGATTTTGCCCTAATTTTGATTAAATTATTATTTTGTATAAATAATTGGGATTAACATTGAAAATATGAAATTGGGAGGTTATGGTTATAAATGGTGATATTGGATATGCAATATCTCACCTATGGAAGTTTTGAATAAACTATTTATTTTGAGATTGAACAACTCTTAGAAATAATTGTATTGGACTATCGATGGAGAATAGCTATGATTGTTATAGAAATTGCATGAGGATTAGGCGATTTAATGCTAATTCATTGTTGTTGTCATTGAATATGACCATATTATAAATACATTGTATATGTATGTTTATTGGGAAGAGAAAGGGGATGCACTCCATATGTGATTATGTTTATAAATACATTGCATATGTATATTTGTTTGGGAGAAGAAAGGGGATGGACTCCATTTAAAGGAAGTTGGCCGGAGTGTCTTGGGTGAAAGACCCGAAATTTTATATATAAATGGGTGCCGATTCCTTTGAACAAAATATCTGTAAAATGGCAAGGTTTGAAGTGTTTATGTGTATTTTGCATAATTGGAAAACCATTGAGTTGTAGTCTCACTTTGGCTATTGAAGGATAATGAATTTAACTCATGAATTAAGTAATATATATGAACTTGAAATGAATTGAAGGAAAATGGAAATGAGATTTGGTCTTAGTGGCATATGAATATGCATGCCTTGTAAATGTTTTAGGATCAGTATTGTGTATGCACGTGGAATTTATACCTTTGCTAAACTTCATATATTGTGTTAGATTATCTCTACTGGGCTGTTGGCTCACCCTATACAGGAATATCATTTTCAGGTGCAGGTGCAGGTGTTTCCTCCAAGGCAATAAGGTGAATGGACTTTCAGGAAGCAAGAGCTTCTTATGTATGCTTTATGTGTGTATGTTTGTTATTTGTAAAGCCAAGGGCTTAAGTTATAATGAGCGAGACTCAATTTGTGTAACCAAGCAATGACTTGGAAAGATGTAAGCGTATATGGCATTTACTTGGTTGTTAAACAGTGAACTCTGATATATGAAAGTATGTTGTTTCTCATATTTATTCTGCATATGAGCTATCTGTATTGTATTATTTTGAGGGCATTATAACTTGGTATCAGAGGGTACTGGGTTTGAACACTTTGGGTACGTGGGAAGTGGTTAGTATCACAATGGGTTTGTCTCGCTTGATTGAGATGTTAGCATGTATTGTAGACTTATGTGATAACATGCTTATGTGATTATGTAGGTATGGAATTTAGTTCCTAAGATGTTAATTGGGTCTAGGGGTTTGTGGAAGTCCTATTGAAAGAGCACTTGATCACTGCTATTTCTAATTGGAACTCTAGCAACGCTGTGGGACGATCATTATCTAGGAAGGAAATTCGTATGTGTTTATGTGATTACATGTCTATGTGGAGTGATTTACTATTGTCCAATGTATTAGAACACAAGTGAGTTAGCCTTGGCATGTTTGAAAATATACTAACCCTGTTGTTACCTTTATTAAGATGTTAGGACGTGGGCATGGTGGAAATAGGCGTGGTAGACCTAGAAGGCATGAGGTGCCTTTACCGGATGATATTCCGTCATAGGAAGAAGGAGTTGGTCAAGCCAATGTGGCTGAACCGATTAATCAACAGGCCATGGGCGCCTTAGCCTGTGAAATGGCTGAAGCATTGAGAGAATCTATAGACATTCTCCGAGCTGAGAATCAAGTCCAGGCCCAAGTAGCTGAAGTAGGGCCGTCTTTCTTAAAGAGAGATTTTTTTCGGTTGAATCTGGATGAGTTTTTGGGTGATCCTAAGGAGCCATTGAAGGCAGATGAGTGGCTAGAACAGTTAGTGAAGACATTCAAGATGCTTGGCATCGAGGATGATCAGTTGAAAGTGACCTTGGCATCTTTCTAGTTGAAGGAGGATGCAGGTCAGTGGTGGAAGTATGCGCGTGGGTGCATTGGAGGAACTTAGAAGGCTTTTGTTGAGGCTTTCCAGGATAAATTTCTACCTCTCACGGTTAAAGAGAAATTGAGAGATTAATTTTCTAAATTGTTGCAGTTGAACACACCAGTGGCTGAGTTTGAGGCAACCTTTACTATTCTGTCGAGGTTTGCACCTGAGTTGGTGGCGACTGAGGAGCGCCGTTGTTTGGAGATTGAAAAGAGGTTAAGGACCAGGTTAATGTATAAAGTTGCCGATCCCATGACTAGAGATTATGGGCGCCTTGTGCAGTCTGCAGCCCACCTTGAAACTATTATGCAAGTTGAAGAAGAGAGGATGAGGGGCTCTAGGAGAAGTTAGGATAGTCAGGGGGACAGTAAGAGGTAGAGGGGTTCCTACCCTCAGCAGTCTTAGGGAACTCAGTCGAGGTCTACTTTTCCAATACCGAGTTCAGGTTCTAGAAGAAGTGGGCATGGAGATTTTACTTGCTATAAGTGTGGTCAGTTGGGCCACAAGTCTCCAGCTTGTCCTCAGAGAGGAGGAGGACAGCGGGCATCATCATCTTCGACTCGTTTTTAGAGCCAGAGTCAGAGAAGAGGCCAGCCGCTCACTTGTTATCAGTGCGGGCAAGCGGGGCACCTGAAGAGGTTTTGCCCATAGTTGGGTGATACACCTGGTGCGTCTGGTTCGAGACAGACATAGAGTTACTAGTTGACACAGTCAGCACAGGCCTCGAAGGCCAATCAGGGAGTCTCTTCGGTTTAGTCTGTGCATCAGGCTTATGCTCCGAGGGGTGAACAGGTTGAGCAGAGGCCTACTGGACGTATGTATACAGTTGTAGGGCCAGATCTTGTACCTGATCCTTCTGTTGTGAGAGGTACCTTTTTGTTTTGCAATTCAGTTGCTAATGTGTTAATTGATACGGGTGTATCCCATTCTTTTATTTCGTATGCGTTTGCATCAGCCTTGGGTTTGGAGTTGGCACAGTTAGCATCTCTTATTTGTGTAGAGTCACCTATTGGTGGTCCGACTGTCTTGAGACAGGGATGTTGGGGTTGTGACATCGAGGTTGCTGGTCGTCGATTACTTTTTACATTTGTGTTGATTGACATGTTTAGTTTTGATGTCATATTGGGTATGGACTAGTTATCGTCATATCGGGATGTTATAGATTGCTACCGGCAGAAGGTTATTGTATGTACCTTGAGCGGTGATTGCTTTTATTTCTTGGGAGACCGTGTGGATAGAGTCTTATCACCGGTATATGATCCGTGTGGACGAAGTTGTAACACCCTCACATAATAACAATAAACCCATCAGATAAGACATGCGTTTACATATAAACTAACCACATTCTTCCATTCATTAGAGTTCCATTACATAAGTATTACATGTTAACATCATAACAAAATGCCCTACGGGCTTACAGCTTTCCAAGTTAACACTTGGTTACAACAAAGAGTTCTAACTCGTTTACACATTAAGCCCTTGTTGAATTTGAATCTGATAATAGCCTTTACAAAGTTGAGTTCTAAATCTTTGTTTTAATATCTAAAAGAAATTTTTTGGGTGCCCAGAAAGATATATTTTGATAGACAGAGGTGTCTTTATATATGCCTTTCTAATTTCTGTACTCAAATAAATTTCCAGTTGTTGAAGCATACACCTTACACCTCTTAAGAGAGGACTGTTAAAATCTATTCCTGCGTCGGAGTTGGCGAGTTTGAGGGCAGAATTGACGTTCAGAATTGACATTCTGCTTATGGTTTTATCATTGAGAAGCTTGGAAAAGTTGTCACTGATTGACACCGTGTAAAGTATGATTAATTGGATGAGTTTGAATTGAACAAGTTGGATTTGTAATTGATGTCGGGTTTGGTTTGAGAGGCACACATTTGGAGGTGTCCGCTATTTAGACTCTGATCACTGATATTCATATGGGTTCCCAGTCCTCCAAACTCTTGTCATGTTGTTGGGTTTCACGACATAGCACATCTATTGTTGAGGCACCTAATGTTGGTGTGTTACCTTGCCTATCTTTTTTATTTTTATTATTTTTAATTTTTTTTCTTTTTTATGTTAATTGGATGTATGTGTTGGTTGGTTGGTTGATATGTCTGCTGTCAGAGAATGAAGAGGAGGAGGTCAGCAACTTGCCTGCATTCCGTGAATTCACACTAGAGCAGCTAAAGAATGCCACTTCTGGTTTTGCGGTAGAGGATATTGTGTCGGAGAATGGTGAGAAGGCTCCAAATGTTGTTTATAAAGGGAAGCTGGAGAATCAGCAGAGGATTGCTGTCAAGCGCTTTAAAAAAACAGCTTGTCCAAATGTGAAGCAATTCTTGGTAAAGTCATTCTGAAGAATCTCTCTCATGACCACATGAATTCATACATTTCTCTTGCGTAGTTTTTTGTTATGATCATGCTTTGCCATGCAATGCAATTGTATATGGGCGTGATTAGGTAGGGCTGCAAATGAAGTCAAGCAAAGCTGAGCTTTGCAATGCTTGAGCTTGGCTTTTTTATTTATCTAGCTTGGCTCAACTCGTTAATACTAATCATGCTCGAGCTCAACTCAAAGCTTGATGATGAAGAAAAAATCAGGCTTGATAATCAAGCTTGGTCAGCCCGTTAAATATTATTCTATATTACAATTATGCATATATAACACATTTTACATTATTTAATATATAAACAATATTTATCTTATCGTTTAAGTAAATAATAAACGGGCCAAGCTTATTCTAGCTTGAGCTAAACTCATTTATTAAACAAGCCTAAAAATCTTGCTCGTACTCATTTATATAAGTAACAAACCAAGCTGAGCCAAGCTTGTGAGGAGCTCGGTTCATTTGCAGTCCTAACCATCGGTATCAAATTGTTTTTAGGTGCAAACAAGAAGGTTCAACTGTATTCATTCTTTTTTCTTTCTTTATAAGACCACCCCGAGTTTTTCATTTAGGCTTACATATCCATCCTCTTCTACTTGTGTTGTGAGAGTCTGGTTGTTTCTTTTCTCTCTCTCTTCAGGACAATTATGAAATTGTGTTGTTTCTTAAACCTTTTTTACCTTAAAAATCCTGCACCACATAATATATTTTTCTTGACCCTTTTATTACATTTTGTGTAGAACTAAAAACAGGTTTTCCTTTTTATTATAAAATTTATATTCCATATCTCCTAATTTGTGAAGAACATTTTTGTGCACTATGAAAATTTGTTCTGCTCTTTTTACTTTTCATTTAATTTGCATTGATCCAAGATGACTTGCATATCCATGTCGGAATCAATGTTCCTTCATGTGTCTTGAATAGGTTTTCAATTACCACGTCACTTATTTTCGTCTTTCACATATGTAGTGTTTGGGATGTGCCTTTTGTTCATTCTTGACTATTATTATTTTTCTTTGGCAACTACAGGAAGAAGCGAGGTTGGTTGGCCATCTCTGTAACCATTGGTTGGCAAACTTGCTTGGTTATTGCTGTGAAGATGAGGAGATGCTGCTCATGGCTGAATATATGCCCAACAATACACTCGCAAAACACTTGTTTCACTGTAAGGGTTTTTTTTTTCCCAGCTAAGTTGAGCGTGGCCTAAATGCTTCTTAAGTGTGTCCTAGGCATGTCCAGTGAAAAAACAAGTATTAATAAATAGACACTCCATGTGGCGTGTCAGATGCATGTCCCAGCTGTGTCTGTGTCTTATATGTGTCTGACATTGCTACGACACCTATTTTAAAGTGTCCATACTTTATAGCTCACTATTAAACCCAAATCTGTTTATTATAGGTTCCATTAGTATTGTTGTTTTTTACTGGCGTCAATTATTTGCTATATGTTTCCATTATTTCTATATCCTTGGGTAAGTTCCAATCTAATTTGGTGTATTGGATAATGCAATTATTCCTTTGGTTTAGGGGAAACACAACCTATGAACTGGGCAATGCGATTGAGGGTGGTTTTACATGTTGCACAAGCTCTGGAATATTGTACAAGCAAAGGCTGTTCCGTCTATCATGACCTAAATCCTTGCAGAGTTTTATTCGATGAGGTATATATTAAATATTTCCTTAATTTGGACACCTCTATTCAGTTGAATTTTATGTGGGTCCCTCTATTTATCTTTTTAGAATTTTGCAGGACTGTAATCCTAGACTTTCGTGCTTTGGCCTGATGAAAAGTAGTGGGAATGGAAATATTTATAGTACAAATTTGGCATTTTCTCCTCCAGAGTTTCTGAAAACCGGTATGTATTCTCTTGATAAAGGACAATTTTTATGCCCCCAAATTTTTTTTAAATCATGTAGGATCTATTAGAAGTCTCTTTCATTGAACTTCATTCTGATCTCACCTCGTATTTTTGGTTCTTCCTTCTGTTTTGTGGGGAACATGCCTGTTAACCAAGTGTAACGTTATTTGTCTTCTACTTTTCTTCTACAATGGTAAAAGAAATTAGCTTTCAGAGTTAAGCACAAATGCATATTTATCCTGTTTTTGTTATATTTTCTGTTTTCTTTGTTTTCATTTTTCATGTTTTTGGAAACAAAAACAATAAAAAGTTCAACCCATCATTTTCAAATTGTTTTTGTTTTTGCTAGTTTTCAAAAATTCAGAAACAACTTTTGTTGTTTCCTAAAAGGTGGATTGTTTCTAGAAAATTGTATTGAAAAAAGTTCACCAAACAAGTTTTCTGTGTTTTTCGGAAAGTGAAAACAGAAAACAAAAAAATGATCACAAAATCAAACGAGCTTTGGTTGAGTTTTCAAAATATGTTTTTTGAGTTTAATGAAAAAAATCAAAAACACTAATCATTTTCATTTAGGAAACAAAAACAATAAAAAGTTCAACCCATCATTTTCAAATTGTTTATGTTTTGCTAGTTTTCAAAAATTCAGAAACAACTTTTGTTGTTTCCTAAAAGGTAGATGTTTTTTGAGTTTAATAAAAAAAAAAAAAAATCAAAAGCACTAATCGTTTTCATATTTTGGGCAAATGTTTTTTTATCTTTCTGAAATATTTTTTTTTGGTGTTTATTTTCATCAAACTAAACTGAAAGCAGATTATGATGACAAATTTGATGTTTCACACTCTTTTGTTACTTGGACGTTTTAAATAGCCCAAATGATGTTTAGATAACTATTCTTGCTTCATATGCTGGTCTTCTTTGTATAGGTACAGTGACACTAGAAGGTGTAATATAGCTTTGGCACTCTTTTGGTTGATGTTCTTAGTGGGAAACATATTCCCCCTAGCTATGTAAGTATCTGTATCTTACAACCAAATTTGATGTTTTATGCTTTATGCAAATTATTTTTTGACAATACTGTTGTTCGAGTCTAGAGCACCCCCCAAAGCTTATATTTATCTTTTTATTCTGTTATGGATTTCGTATACGTAGTTACAGACACATCTATTTGTATATCTATGTTAATACATAGTTATGCATGTATTTTTTTTTTAAAAAAAATTACCACGATTAGTGTGTACTTTAATGTAAACATCTACCTCGATAAAGTGGTCAGGAATTGGAAATAATCTGAGTCCTTTCTGTTGGTTTTTGGAAAGTATTGAAATCATGAAGCTAGGGTAAAATGGAAATGCTGGGTGAGGGCTTAAAGACCCATTTGACTCCAATAGAATGGACATTGGGAAAACAGAAATTCTTGAAGTACCCTTATCTTAAAACAATCATTCTGAAAAACAAATGGAAGTCTTTAAATTCATAATAGAGCAATAAATAAAATGGTTGCAAATTGTCATGGCAAAGGCAAAGATTAGTAAAAAGTTAAAACAGAACAAACACCCAAGCACACAAGGCTTTACATGGTTTGGCTATAAGCCTACGTCCACTGGTGAAGAATGGAATTCACTATGAAGATTGAGATTACAATAAGCTGGCTTGCTCTCTCTCTCTCTGAATATGTATATAGGGATCCAAAATTGGCAAACCTACAAGGATCCAATATCTTTATGCAGATATTTTCCATTTCTTAGATTAATGATCTTTCTAGGATATGCATTTGACATTCCATGCCTAATGTTGTGGTAATTCTACCAGGCCCTTGATTTGATACGGGACAGGAACCTTGAGATGCTGACAGATTCTTTCTTGGAAGGAAAATTTTCCGATGATGCCAGGACTGAGTTAGTACGCTTGGCTTCTCGATGCTTGCAATATGAACCCCAAGAAAGGCCAAATCCAAAGTCATTAGTGGCTATTTTGACTACTCTTCAGGAAAATACCAAGGTCAATTACATTTTTGTTTTTTGCTTAATTTTCTTAAGAACAAAGGCTTATCATCCCAAAGCAACTCAGAAATTGGAAAGTCTGGCCTTTTGTTGTTGATCAAAAAAAAATTGGAAAGTCTGGACTGTTTCCTAATTATTATTATTTTTTTTTTGGTATGATACTTTTACATTTTTAACTTCTAATAGTCAGAATTAGTTATTTGAAATTTTGAATGTGCCAATTTCATCTTGTTAAGCGGATTTAGGTTTGTGATGAATCTTTGGTTTCTTGCTGTACAGGTTCCTCCTCATGTCTTAATGGGCATCTCGCCCAGTGCTTCCTTCTCACCTAAATCCCCACTTGGTGAAGCATGCTTAAGAATGGACTTGACTGCCATACATGAGATCTTGGAGAATATTGGGTATAAAGATGACGAAGGTGTCACCAATGAGGTATTGTATATGTTTAAAAAATGTTAAAGATTAGATTTTTCTCGTCATGTATTCTGAAGTCAACATCTTAATCTCACATAATTGTCTCATTAGAATGTTTAGGGCTTGTACATAGTGCAATATAATTGCTTTGTAAGCTTCAGCTTCAGCTTCTATTTTCCGTTGCCTGAGCATGATATATCGGTCAATATCGACTGATATATAAGTGAATATCGGTATCAGAACTCTAAAATCCTGATACTAATTGGCTGATATCTAAAGCCCTCCCACCTTTTTCTTTTTCTTTTGTTGCCATGGAGGATGTCAACTGCTTGAGAGCATGTTATGCTTTGTCATACCAGAGACAATTTTATCGTTCTTATGCATTGTGCTTTTGCTCATTACCATCTTTCAACATTGCAGCTCTCGTTCCAAATGTGGACTGACCAAATGCAGACAACAATAAATTCGAAGAAAAAAGGCGATTCTGCTTTCCGGTGTAAAGATTCCAAAACTGCAATTGACTGCTACACACAGGTTATTTTTGTTTTGATTTTGTTTCCGAATTCTAATTTAACGGCAGTCAATCTTGGTATCACATAAAATACTCACTAACATTTGGAAGCTTTGGGGAATTACTGAGATGATTATAACAATTTGTCTAAGCAATGTTTGGGAGTGTTGCCTTATAAAAACGATTTACATTTTGGAATGCACATTCCAAAACATGGTACAGTTTCATTCCAAAACAATGAATTTAGCTATCAAAGCGATTCGAAAAATATTTTCCACTATAAACCTTAAAAGTTACCATAAAGAGGAAAAACAAATCAAATATAATATAATAAACTAAAATTTTAGGAGAGTAGGGTTGACAAAAGGTAAAAAATTGGTCATAATGCTCATACAAGTGTGTGGTAACATGATTAATTTGAAAGGAAAAAAAAGGGTAACATTTTATTGGATGTCTAATGCTTAGATTAAATTCTATTAGTCTAATCAAATAAGTCTAACCATATTGTACGTTTTAGAAAATGTGACATACCACATTCGTGATCATGTTCCATGCACCGAAACAATCCATGTCTCAGGTAATTCAGAGATAGTGGCAGTTTATGGGAAAACTGTGATAATCTAATGGTTACATTCTTGAAAATCTGAGTGAATGCTGGAATCCTAATAATGGTTTTATTTTCCTACTTGCAGTTTATTGAAGCAGGAATAGTAGGGTCACCAACAGTTTTTGCTCGCCGCAGTTTGTCTTATCTCATGAGCGACTCGCCACAGGAAGCTTTAAAGGATGCAATGCAAGCCCAAATCATATCTCCATCCTGGCACGTACTGTCTTATCTACAAGCCTCTGCACTTTTCACCCTTAAAATGGAAAATGAAGCACATATAGCCCGTAAGGATGGTTCAGCTCTTGAAGCCAGAAGGAGCAAAAGTGTTTGACAGTAACGAAATCTAATCAAATAAGTCTAACCATATCGTACGTTTTAGAAAATGTGACATACCACATTCGTGATCATGTTCCATGTACCGAAACAATCCATGTCTCAGGTAATTCAGAGATAGTGGCAGTTTATGGGAAAACTGTGATAATCTAATGGTTACATTCTTGAAAATCTGACTGAATGCTGGAATCCTAATAATGGTTTTATTTTCCTACTTGCAGTTTATTGAAGCAGGAATAGTAGGGTCACCAACAGTTTTTGCTCGCCGCAGTTTGTCTTATCTCATGAGCGACTCGCCACAGGAAGCTTTAAAGGATGCAATGCAAGCCCAAATCATATCTCCATCCTGGCACGTACTGTCTTATCTACAAGCCTATGCACTTTTCACCCTTAAAATGGAAAATGAAGCACATATAGCCCTTAAGGATGGTTCAGCTCTTGAAGCCAGAAGGAGGAAAAGTGTTTGACAGTAACGAAATGATGTACAGATATGTAAATCTTCTGCTCTGCTCGCTTTGTCTCACTTCCTTTGTGAAGATCATTATTTGGCACGTATTGAAAGGTTTTTGCTCTGACCGGAGCTTTATTCTATTCAACAATCATAACGAAATTATCGTTCTTCATTTCTTGTTCACAGTTGTAGTTTGACCGATTTTCACGCCCTTCAGATAGTTACATTTATTTGTTTTGGAAGTTATAATGATTTATTTGGTACTTCGTGTTCGTGTATTTACAATTTTGATGTAATGCTTTATTTGATTTCCCAGAAATTGTCAATGAAGTGTGAAATTTACTGGTTTTCTTTTTCTCCATCTTCTTGGTTTTGAGATGGTCAAAACCTAGGTTTGCAGTGCCATTTCTGAATGTCAGTTATGTGGAGGATACTTTAGCGTAGACCTTGAAATTTATTTTGAGAGTTGATTGGATTTGTGTACCGAAACTTTCTCCCAAGGATGAGATTTAGGTTATGTTTGGATCTTGGATTTGTGGAAGGGAAACGAAAAGGGAAAGGAAACAAAAAGGAAAAGAAAAAGAGGAATGAAGTAGGGTGATTTTGGATATTGGATTTAGGGTTTTTTTCTCTTCTTCACAGGCCCTGATTTTCGATGATGGATGGCCCTTTTCTGTAATTTCACATTAATAAATTACCAACATTGCCCAGCAGTTATACCACACACGCCTACAATGTATATGCCCTCAATGGTCAATTCCCTTACAATGGGACTGTTCAGTTCATAAGAAAACATTTGGGACTAAACAGTGTATAAGTTATTAATTTGGGATTTATTGGTACATGCCCCTTTAATATTTTGAAACCCTCAATTTTTAGGGGTTTTTTTAATTATTACAACAATAATCTCAAATAAAATTAATAAAAATGACATCATTAATTTTGAGACACCCCATCTCACAATTAAACTCACACACCACTACATCATGAATTAGGGTTTATGAGAGTACCCACCTCCATCACCACCTATCCATCTTCCCCAAATCTCACTTTCAAAATTTACTCACCCTCAAAACCTTGAAAACCCTTTGGCGGTAATATTTCAGCGATAAAGATAGCAACCATTTGATTACCTACACTTCTCTGGCAATGATATTGAGTGAAAAAAATTTCGACAACCACAACTCCATAAGACGAGAGGAGTGAAACAATAAAAGTTCAGAGGAAGTTCATAGCTTTGATGGTGTTCTTAGGTCAGAGAAGATTGACCTTATAAGGGTAAGTTTCTTTAAAAAAAAATGGCAAAAATAATAAAATTTGTTCGTCATTTTTTCGGGACTGAACTCCCGAACATATGATCAAAATTCGGGAATACAAGTCTGAACATTGTTTATTTTTCGGGAACCAGTAACCGAACATTTATTATTTGTTTGGAAATCGGTAACCGAGTATTAATCACCGAAGAAAAGGATAAGGCGGAACAGAGAGAGAGAGTAGAAACCGTAATCACACTTAACTCTTCTTCTTCTTCTCCATAAGTTTTGTTAGAGTTTTTGGAAGAGAGGTTTTTTAAGGATAGAGGGTGTGTATTCAATTGAATGGGTGAAATGTTTTCACAAAGATAATTTTGGTATTATTCGGGGAGAGAAGAGAAATTTTAAAACTTTCAAAATTTATAAATGAAGATCCAAAATATAATAAATGGGGTTGCTAATACCACCGCTCAAAATGATATAAACAACTCATCTAATCTAAGGGGTTGTTTGGGATGACCTAAATAAGTGCATTTTTTGTCTTTTTACGAAAAGATGTGCAGAAAAGTAGAGAGATGATGTAATAAAAAAAGATAAAAAGATAAAAAGTGTGTACTTATTTAGGATAACCAAACTTGACTTAGCTAACTGATGAAACTGGTTCAAGGTTAGGCGGAAAAACATTCAAGTTGAAAAGTTTCAAGAAAAGCCAACTCATTAAACTGTCAAGGCTAAGGCCTCATTTGGCAACCCTCCATTTTAGCCAAAAAATCAAAAAATTACTAAATTAGCCAAAAAGCCAACAAGTCATACCAAAAAGTCAAAGATTCTCTTTTCTCCCTACTTTTTGCACATCTTTTCGTAAAAAGTCAAAAAGTCATCCCAAACATACTATTTTTTTTTAGCTCATATTTTAACCAAAAAGCCAAAAAGTTACTTAGCATGTTCCCAAACGAGGCCTTAAAATAGTTTTTAGTCAAAATTTTGATATAATATATATATATATATATAATCAAACCAAACCAAGCCTTAAGTCCCATCAAATGGGGTCGGCTATATAATATATATAAATATATAAAAACAAAGAAAATAAGAAAAATAAAATAAAAAAAAAAACCACTGGGTTAGTCCAAAACCGCGGCCGGTTCACCGGTTTTTCCGGTTGATCCATCAATTTTTCCGATTTTTTCAAACGAGGTTGATTTTTGGCCTAGTCCAATTTTTGTGGATCATCTGAACTGAAACTACGTCCGATTCTACTGGTTGAACTGGTCGGTTTGGTCCGGTTATTAAAACATTGCTTCTAGTACAATTGATTAAGCATTAAGCATTAAGAACCCTAGGGTTTAGCTTGGCAATAGGTACTTTAATATTGATCCTGAGGTTTCCCGATTGAGTCGTGTGGCTAGCCTCTTAGACTAGACATTAGTACAATTGATTGAGCCATGGAGCTAGCTTCTCGGGCATCACTAGAATTGGCTGATGAGATATGTTTTTCAAACCTAAACAAACCATATCTAGTACCTGAAGTGTGGGTGTAGAGCCGATATGTGGCATACCACCAGTGGGTAAACCCGTGGAGGGTCTAGCTCCAAGGTTACCCTTTGTGTTAGGCCTTTAAGCCTCGTTTGGGAACCCTCCATTTTAACCAAAAAGTCAAAAAGTTACTAAATTAGCCAAAAAGCCAACAACCCATACCAAAAAGTCAAAGATTCTCTTTTCTCTCTACTTTTTGCACATCTTTTCGTAAAAAGCCAAAAAGTCATCCCAAATATACTAGTTTTTTTTAGCTTATATTTTAGCCAAATAGTCAAAAAATTACTAAATTAGCTTGTTCCCAAACGAGGCCTCAAGACTGTCCGAAACATGAATCCTAGAAGTAACACTAACGGAAAGTAAATTACTGTTTGTTTTGTATAGGGATGTTACTTTTGGTATGAAGCCGGTCAAACATACCAATCTTGAGCACTTCAGCATATGAAAATTCTTTAATTACGTACCATTTTCAGTTTCTTTTCCTAAATTTCTATCCAAACAAGCAGTTATTTCCTCACAAGTAAAATTGAAAGAAATGAGAACATAGCAACCAATTAGGCAACATGACAACACAACCTGATCTGAACATTAAAACCAGTTTCAACATTGATTTCAATACAAATTTCCACCCCCTTACAGTTGATGATATAACCACCTATGTAAATCCCCATCTATATAACATGGGGTGAACTAATAGTCTTACACTCAACAGGGGTGAAGAGAGAGAGAGAGAGAGAGAGAGAGAGAGAGAATCCTAGGTCAAATTGGGGTTTTCTTGAGGAATTACTACATTTGCAGACCTAAACATTTCCTTAGTTCTGCCATAGTAGACTGATTTGCTACCAGGGTAAGTGACAAAATTCCAACCAAAAGCCGATCCTCCGACAATGTAAGTCCCTTGAGTCTGCTTGTCGGATATAGTTCCCAATAGGACAGGGGCCGAAGGCTGCTCAGTCGGCTTAGCGTATTGGTGATTATGCTTTTGCCCATATTGGATTTCGCCCGACAAAGGACCTTCCGGAACATTCTTAAACTTGTCTGTGGAGATTGTTTCTGCCGTCATCTCTTTGTATAGATCCATCAAAAGCTTCATCTCTGCAAGTTACCATTACCATAATCACATCTCATGAATCAAAACATTTTTTCTTCTTTCAAATAATAGTAATAATAATGTATGAATATTTTATGCCAACAAGTCCATGGATCATAAAATGGCACAAACACACAAAATCCAAAAAACTTGGAGACCAGTTGCATTGCCGTCTGACCAACAATCTATGAAGCATGTATATGGATACGGGATACGGCATACGATAGAGATATGGGTACGGCTAGGATATGTTGAAAACAATTTATAATTTTTAATATCATATTATACATGAGTTCAAAGAATAATGAGGTTAATTTGATAAAATCTAAAAAAGTAGCGTATTACTTTAATCTCACTATTTTCTTCTTTGGTAAGAACTAAGAAAATGTTGAAAAGCTGTTCTGCCAAGTTTGGTTACAAAGGAAAAAGTGCACTTATTTCATCTTTTTATCTTTTTTGGGTCACATCAATCAACATCTTCTCTCTACTTTTTCTACACATAATACAAAAAAAGTCAAAAAGTGCACTTATTAAGTCTTTCCAAACTAGGCGTTAATCTAGCAATTATACTCTAATATTATGCAAAAATTATTACAATCTCAATTCATGTTAGTTTGGATACGTGATCTAAAATGTCCAAAAAGTGTCCTATAATTCTCAAAATTACCATCAAGTATGGGGTATGTACCCGCAAATATTTGAGGAGCATTGGTATCCAATACAGGTACAATACGAGCACAACTCCCTTTTAGAAGTATATGTGCTTCATAGCCAACAATCTGAACCACACATGGGAGACATGGTTCTTTTACCTTATGATGAAGTAGACTTGGTACTATGATTACCGGCCCTAAATGGATTCAATTACGTATAACCGAGATAAAATACAAGAATTGTGGATACTAAAAAGACAACCATACTTAAGAGATCTCCAATGTGAAGGAGAGGATCGTAGGGTGAAGAGCTTTGCACAGGTTTCCAATAAGAGAAATGGGGTTAATACAAAGGCCAAAGATTGTGAAAATTCTTGAGCATTACAACCAGCCAAGCCAAATTGGGCCAATAGCCAAATAGGATTCATGCAGCCAATTCAAGCAGTTGGCCAAAGATTGTGAAAATTCTTGAGCATTACAACCAACCAAGCCAAATTGGGCCAATAGCCAAATAGGATTCATGCAGCCGATTCAAGCAGTTGGGAATTGTTTTTTTCCTTTTAAGTGAAAACAGTGTTTCATTCCGAATATTATTATAGAACCTATTCCTCAAATAACTCAATGAAATTCTGACATAATCATCACTAGAAAACAGAGGATGAGAACCACCTTGAGGAATGAACCAACATATGAATTGGATGTAAAAAGCATTTCTGAGCTCCTTAAAAAAGGCAAAGGTTGCAAAATTATACAGAAACATCAAATAAATGCAAGAACAAACCCTTTTTATAAACCCACAATATGTTGGGCAAAAATAAAGGCTCATTTATGTCCTAGATGAAGTAACTGGACAAAAAATCATGTCCAAATAATATAAAATTTGAATGCTATCAAGGAAATTAATAATAAAGAAATGAGAGGAAGAAATTCGAATTGAGAGTAATTAAGACAAAGACAACTGATACACTGTGTTCCATATTTTCTCATAGGAAAGAAAAAGAACCCATAGGATGCCCCCTTGTTTTATCTCCAAAACATCATTTTTTTCTCTCATGTTTTATGAAATTACAAAATAAAAAGCAGATTACACAACTCAGTACTAGAAGGGAACTCAATTTGGTGACACAAACATAAACATTAGTATGGTAAAAGGTCAGATGTTGATTAAAGTGTTAAGTATTACATGTGAACTGTGAGCCTACTATTATCAACATATTTTCTTTTTGGACTTCATTGGCCACGTACCAAGGACTTAATATGGATGCTAGTGCCTAACACTGATATAAGATATCCAACAATATGTATCACACAACAGAGAGAACTTGATGTGTGTGAGTTAACCAATACATTGTCAGACATACAAAATCATATGTGCCAAAAGAGCAAAAAAATAACCAAACAGAACACAAGCATATATATATTTATATACTTATTCAAACTATGTCAAGAGCTAAATAAATATCAAAAAGCTTACGTTCTCGAATTTCATGAGCTGCCTTGCAATTGTGAAAGACAGGAGTCCGGAGAACCTTCAAGATAACAAAAAATATCTCAGGCCTTCAAACTAAAAATTCAAGTAAAAAAGAAGTAGGAAATTTCAATTTAAGATTAGTAGTATCAAAGTCATCAAGGGTAACATTATACTATTCTTCAAATATGAATACTGCACCACTCTATTTGTCATTCTCTATTTCCCATAAGATCTAAGTGCATCTAGAGATACCTATGTACCTGATCAAAAGCTCAATTCAAGTGACCCAAGTTTCCAACTAGTCATTCATTTACTATTTTAAGAGTTTATTACACTTTCTACCCCTAAACTATTGTCAAATTGTCTATTTAATCCCTAAACTATTGATTGAATCTATTTAGTCTCTAAAGTATATAAATAAAAATCGATTTAATCCCTAAACTATTGATTGAATCTATTTAGTCTCTAAAGTATATAAATAAAAATCGATTTAATCCCTAAACTATTGATTGAATCTATTTAGTCTCTAAAGTATATAAATAAAAATCGATTTAATCCCTAAACTATTGATTGAATCTATTTAGTCTCTAAAGTATATAAATAAAAATCGATTTAATCCCTAAACTATTGATTGAATCTATTTAGTCTCTAAAGTATATAAATAAAAATCGATTTAATCCCTAAACTATTGATTGAATCTATTTAGTCTCTAAAGTATATAAATAAAAATCGATTTAATCCCTAAACTATTGATTGAATCTATTTAGTCTCTAAAGTATATAAATAAAAATCGATTTAATCCCTAAACTATTGATTGAATCTATTTAGTCTCTAAAGTATATAAATAAAAATCGATTTAATCCCTAAACTATTGATTGAATCTATTTAGTCTCTAAAGTATATAAATAAAAATCGATTTAATCCCTAAACTATTGATTGAATCTATTTAGTCTCTAAAGTATATAAATAAAAATCGATTTAATCCCTAAACTATTGATTGAATCTATTTAGTCTCTAAAGTATATAAATAAAAATCGATTTAATCCCTAAACTATTGATTGAATCTATTTAGTCTCTAAAGTATATAAATAAAAATCGATTTAATCCCTAAACTATTGATTGAATCTATTTAGTCTCTAAAGTATATAAATAAAAATCGATTTAATCCCTAAACTATTGATTGAATCTATTTAGTCTCTAAAGTATATAAATAAAAATCGATTTAATCCCTAAACTATTGATTGAATCTATTTAGTCTCTAAAGTATATAAATAAAAATCGATTTAATCCCTAAACTATTGATTGAATCTATTAAATACCTAAAATATATAATTCAAATCTATTTAGTCCCTAAAAGAATTATAAAAATAAAATATATGCATAGTATTATAATTTAGTAAAAAACCCTCCCCAATCAAGATTTTAGTACCAACAAAAAAAAAAATCTTCTAAATTTTTATTTTGTGTTGAAAAAGTATTTTATTTTGTTATGTGTTTAAATTAATATTAAAGTCTGATTTTTCAGTCTTGCCAATAAATTATATGAATATTAGATACATCGAAAAAAGTAGAATTAAATAATTTAAATAATAAATTTTCTCTACAAATAGTAATAGAACAAAATAATACATTAATTAAGCAATAAAAAAAATTTAGTGAAAAACTTAAAAACAGTCAATTAAAACTATAAACGAAATTTGGCATGTAATACTAGATAAAAGCAAGCACACATCCGTTGTAGAAGATAAGTAAGAAAATAATGTAAATAATTACCCTTATCCTTAAAAAGGGAATTCAATATATGGATTAACGCCCACTTTTCAAAGACTGAATAAAAATTTTAAATTTTTTTGAAATAAAAATTTAACTACATATGATTTTTTATTAATTTATAATATTTACAGACTTAAATTTTATTTTTGTAATCCTTTTAAGAATTAAATAAATTTGAATTAAATACTTTAGGGACTTAATGGATTCAATCGATAGTTTAAGGACTAAATAGACTATGATTTATATACTTTAAGAACCTAGTAGACACAATTAATTGTTTAGGAACTAAATAGACAATTTGGCGATAGTTTAAGGGTATAAAGTATAATAAACCATTTACTTATCAACGAAACTTTTTGGAGAATAAAGAAAAGAAAAGAAAGGGGTTGTGTGGCACTTTTTTGTTTTTTTTTTTATTTTTTATTTTTGATTCTGGAAAAGCATGCTGTGGCCCCCACCATCCAAACACTGAGCTAAACTAATGGTTTTATGAGGCATTAGTTTAATATATAGATATATAAAAAAAAATGTGGGAAATAACGTGGGTGGTGTGTGGGTGATTATTAGAGAGAGAAGAAGGCCCCCCCTGTTTGGTTTTTTTTTTTACTTTTCTTCTTTATTCTTCCGCAAGAGAGAAGCCTCGGCAGAGAGGCGGCTGTTAGAAAGAGAACTTGAGTGCGAACTGGCGGTGCGAAGGAACGCAGAGGGCGGCGCAGTATAGCGAGAAGGCGCATGTTTGGCAGGCAAAGGCGAGGAAGTTGGAGGAGACAGCGGCGTCGGAGCCGAGGTCGGCGGCGGTGGCTGCCGCGATGGGCAAGACCCGACTGGAAGAGCCGGGACTGTGAAGTTCTTGCATCTGTCTAAGAATGATTTTTATGGCGAAATACCATCCCAGCTTGCTGGGTCTCTGTGCTCGAGCTCGAATGGTCTGGTGGAGTTGGATCTTTCTTTCAACAATTTGTCTGGCTCTGCTCTGCCATGGAATCTCGATATCTCTAATAACAACTTTTCTGGTGAGTTACCGATTGGGACTCTCCTGGTATTTGTCAAGATCCTAGCAACATGTTGAAAGTTCTGTATCTTCAGAACAATAAGTTAGCAGGTCCGATACCGAAGAATCTGAGTAACTGTACTCAGCTGGTTACTCTTGATCCGAGCTTCAATTTCCTCACTGGGGAAATCCCTGCTAGCTTGGGTTCCCTCGCCAAGCTTCGGGATTTGATGATTTGGTTGAATCAACTGGTTGGGGAAATCCCACCATTGGGAGGAGTTTATGATGGCTTCTTTACTTTTTGGCTTAGATCAGTTGCGAGAGTTCAAAGATCAGATTCTTGCCAATGAGACTCTTCTGCTACCAATGCCTATTCTAAGCTGTTACCAAGGAAGCACAGATCCGGATACGACACGATACGAATACAGCAATACGACAAAACCGAAAAAAATAGGATACCGGTACAGTTAGGATACGTTTCTGTTAAAAAATGATGTAATATTATTAATTGATGTCTTACAAGATTGATTAATTACAATTCCTATACAATCTATATATAGAAGAAAATGTGGTAGTAGGTGTAGTGGAGGTGATAGTGGGTTAGGTGAAGTGAAGTTGCCCGCTCTTCTCAGGGCATGTTTTTTTCTCAACGGAATTATGTTCTTGATCTTGTTACTGAGACTGGCCTCTTAGGCCCTCGCCCGAGTGATACTCCCATGGATTCTTGGAGTAGGTGAAGGTAAAGATGGGAAATTCTAACATATATGCATAGTATTATAAATTAGTAAAAAACCCTCCCCAATTAAGATTTTAGTACCAAAAAAAAAAAATCTTTTAAATTTTTATTTTGTGTTGAAAAAGTATTTTATTTCGTTATGTGTTTAAATTAATATTAAAGTCTAATTTTTCAGTCTTGCCAATAAATTATATGAATATTAGATACATCGAAAAAGTAGAATTAAATAATTTAAATAATAACTTTTCTCTACAAATAGTAATAGAACAAAATAATAGATTACTTAAGTAATAAAAAAATTTTAGTGAAAAACTTAAAAACAGTCAATTAAAACTATAAACGAAATTTGACATATAATACTAGATAAAAGCAAGCACGCATCCGTTGTAGAAGATAAGTAAGAAAATACTATAAATAATAACCCTTATCCTTATAAAGGGAATTCAATATATGGATTGACGCCCACTTTTCAAAGACAAAATAAAAATTTAAAATTTTTTTGAAACAAAATTTTAACTACATATGGTTTTTTACTAATATATAATATTTACAGGCTTAAATTTTATTTTTGTAATCCTTTTAAGAATTAAATAAATTTGAATTAAATACTTTAGGGACTTAATGGATTCAATCGATAGTTTAAGGACTAAATAGACTATGATTTATATACTTTAAGAACCTAGTAGACACAATTAATTGTTTAGGAACTAAATAGATAATTTGGCGATAGTTTAAGGGTATAAAGTATAATAAACCATTTACTTATCAACGAAACTTTTTTTTTTTAAGCAGTCAAACCATTTAAATCAAGTTTCAATTTTTAGCAGTCAAATCAAATTAAACTATGGGTAATTCTTGCTTATCACATAAGAAATACATTTCTTCTATCTTTAGTATGATTTCCTTGGGAGGCATATCCTCTTCGATGGCACTACTACAAATAACAGTTGCATAATTAGTACTTCAGTTAAAAACAACAATGATTTGTACTTGGTCCCATCAGGTTTAGTACTAGTAACCGGAAATTAATGGCCGTTGCCAAATGACTCTTATGTGATGACCAATCCTGCTTAATGGATAGCCCAGTGCAAAAACTTCACAGCTAAGGACAATGATTAACTGCACTTGTCAGCTATTCATCACACATTGTCCTCACATTCTCAAGTGTGAAAACCAACTTTGCATCTTATTCTATAGTTAGAAAATCAGCCAACTGTCACTACCGTTAAATAACGTCCTTATTTATCCATCAAAAGATCATAACAACTATGGTCCAATAAGTTGATTGGAGTGCAATTCACAGCTGCATCAGCCAGTTTATTTTTTCAATTGTTAGAAAAAGGAGCCCGGATTTGACAGGTAGCTTAAAACACATCCAGACCCCAATCTCCTTATTTTCTTTCTTTTGCTTTTCTCCTCACCCATTCTTACATTGAAGAGCTACAAAACTCAATTTCTATTCTTACATTGAAGAGCTATGAAACTCAATCTCTATTTTAGTCTTACACTTGTAGAGATCAAATAATAATCAACTACACCCAAAAATTGTACCTCATTCTTGGAGTTAAGAGTCCATTTCCCGTGCTTTATAACAAAAACAATAATTATTAAAGAAAAATCATAGAAAA